TGCCCGGCCTAGAAATTTTAATAAAACTATTTAGAATGCTATCCTTGTCGGTTCTAGTGACCATCTACTACTCTTAATTAGATTCCGAGGGACTGGGGTGAGGGAGGGAGGACAGGGCAAGAGAATATATGAAGGAAATATGCAAACAGAGCGGGTGGTACCCAGCAGCTGGCTAGCCAAGGAAACCGTAAATAGCCATCTGTCTTCTGTCTAATTTGAAGATAAAGGTACAGTCACTTAGGTCAACAAAAGGCTGTTTGCAGAATGTCATCATATATTTTAAGGCGCTGACCACAGTATAACCTGGCTATAACAATAAAGAGCCAGACTTTTTTTTTTTTCTCTTCCCGTCATATCCCAACTGCCCCATTTCTTGGTGTTGGTCCAGAGATCGTCTATGAAAAGCTATATTCTTGAGCTCTTGAGATGACTCTTACTGTCTCCTGGTTTCCACATCCTTGTGGTCCTGTGTACAGGTCTAGACTGTTCTCCGGTTTAGGCAAAAATGCATCCTAGCCCCACCCAAGCAGTCTCATAATTGGCTTACTGAGTAAAGGAAAACAAGCCCCATTCCTACTGAAAATATTTATAATAGCCTTTGACCACATAAAGGGGATCCTTTGTAAAAATTTAACACGAAAGTCAAGAATTTAAGCCTTTTTTTCATGCTTCCAGTGAAAGATCTTTTAGTAAAACCCGCACAAAGAAGATGTATATGCCAACAAAAGCCCTAAGAAAATTGTACTGAAGACAAAAGTTGTTCTTTGCCTTTTTTTCTTCTCTTCCTCACCCCTTCTTTTTCCCTCCCCCAAGGTTTTCTTTCACCTCTACTCACAGGTGCTTTGTATCTTCAGAGTTAAAGGCAGTCCATGAAATAATCTTCTATATTAGTTTGCAAAGAGATGTTAATGAATTAATAAGTTACTTTTCCCAGGGTATTTGCAATTTACAGAACACTCTCTAGGATAATGATCTCAGGGGTGGGAGAGGGATAGCTAACCCTTAGGACAAGAATATTCAGGAAGTTGTTAATAATATAAAAGAAAAAATTTTTCCTATGGAAAATTTTAAGTATATACAAAAGTAGGCAAATGGTAGAATGAACTGCCACGTACCTGTTACTCAGCTTCGACAATTATCAACTCTAGGCCATCTTGTCTTGTATATATGCCTACCCACTGCCCTGCCACTACTCTGCACTATTTTTGAAGCAAATCCCAGACATCATATCACTTCATCTGTAAATATTTTAGTATGCATTTCTGAAAGATAAGGATTCTTTTTTTTAAACATAGCCACAATGGCATTATAGCATTATTTCACCTAAAAAGTGATAACAACTGAATAATATCATCATATATCTAGCCAATGTTCACATTTCTGATTGTCTCATAAATGTAATTTTTTTCTTACATTTTATTGGTTTAGCATGTCCTGCTGTTCTCTGTGTTTCTCATGATTGATTGCTGGATCTAGAAGTTTGATCAGACTTTCTTATAGTTCATATTTTATACTTCCATCAGAAGACATCTGATGTCTGGTTGCCTTTCTTTTTGTCATGTAAACAGACATTGATGCTCAATGTCTAAATTTGTTAATTCATTAATGCATTCTAATTCTATCTCAGAGGTGATATTCTAATTCTATCATTTCTTCTTCATTTACTTACTGAACTCTTGCTATGAAGACAGTCTTCTCCCTTAACTAAATTTTGGTTACCCAATGGTACAGTTTATATAGAAAAGAACAAATGCTTGATTTCTTCCCTACATTTGCCAATTTTCAACATAAGTAGTCAATCACTAGATCTTCTAATAGTGACCAACCAAGCTTTTGTTTTTATTTTTCGTATAATTATTAGCTCACAGTTATATAAATTGATGTCTTTTAATTGTTTTGCAAATATTATGATGTATATAGATTGAAAGAGCTTATTGAATTTATACCTATGTATTTAAAAAGACAAATAGACCACTTTCTAATGAAAAATACAGAAAGTAAGCAGAGGTCTACCTGAGATTCTCAACAGAGCTGGAGGAGCACAGCTTGATGGTATATCTCAGATACTGGGGATATTTGAGATTTGAAAGTTATGTGACAACGATGGCACATGGTTTCAAGATATGTTGACAGGGAGCCATGTGTAATTCAAATGTGTGACACTGTAATGATGAAAGATACCTTGGCTTCTGGTTTGGGAAGATTCTGGGGGAGAAGTATGTGCCCGTGCAACCTCCTAGTGGTC